ACCTATGAGGATATGAAAAGGGATCAACTAGAAATAAAGAATACATTCTCTGAAATAAAAAATATACAGAGTCCTAAAAACAGAATGGAAGATCGCAAGGATCAAGTCAAAGATTTGGAACACAAAGAACCAGAGGACACTCCTCCGCAGAAGCAAGAAGACAAGAGAATCCAGAAAGTTGAAGATAGTGTAAGAAACCTCTGGGACAACTTCAAGTGAACCAACATCAGAATTATGGGGTTCCCAGAAGATGAGAGAGAGCAAGATACTGAAACATACTGAAAGAAATAGTGACAGAAAACTTCCCCCAGCTGGTGAAAGAATTAGACTTACAAGTCCAGGAAGCGCACAGAACCCCAAACAAAAGGAATCCAAAGAGGACGACACCGAGACACATCATAATTAAAATTCCAAGAGCAAAAGACAGAGAATATTAAAAGCAGCAAGAGCAAAGAAGGTAGTTACCTATAAAGGAGCACCTATACGATTGTCGGCTGTTTTCTCAACAGAAACCATGCAGGCCAGATGGGAATGGCAAGAAATATTCAAGGTGATGAATAACAAGAACCTACAGCCAAAAATACTCTACCCAGCAAAGCTATTACTCAGAATTGAAGGCCAGATAAAGAGCTTCACAAATAAAAAAAAAGCTAAAGGAGTTCATCACTGCCAAACCAGAATTATATGAATTGCTGAAGAGGGTTCTTAGAAAGAGGAAGAAAATAAAGATAAAAATTATGAACAACAAATACGTAACTATCAACAAGTGAATCTAAAAGCCAAGGGAATTAAAAAACCTGATGAACAATATTAACTGGTGAATATAATAGAATCAGAGGTATGGAAGGGGAGTGAACTGACGATTCTCGGGGAAAAGGGGAGAGGGGGTGCGGGAAGAGACTGAACATAAACTGTGCACCTATGGATGAGGACAATGGAGGGTGGGGAAAGGGCAGAGGGTGGGGTGAGAACCTGGTGGAGGGGAGCAATGGAGGGGGAAAAAATGAGGAACGTTTATAATAATATGAACAATAAAGATTTATTAATAAAAATTAAAAAAAAATAATAAAGTGTGTATACATTTTTGGGGGACATTCTGTGTGTGCATGTGTGTGTATGTGTATTTGTGTATATTTGTATGTCCTATATAATAAAAAACTAATATGCAAACTATCCCCACAGGTGGGAGTTAGACGTGCCCTGACCACCAGCAGGCAGTAAGGAACATGGTGAGTGTCTGCCACACTGTGCTGTCAGCAGGAAGCAGTGGAGGTGCTGCCAGCCCTAATAGGCCCCAATGAGAGCCTGAGAGCCAGTACCGTGGCAGGATGGTGGAGCAGGTGAGCAGGCAGCACCAGGTCAAGGCGGGTGCTAACGGAAGCCCCAGCTGGTGTTGAATAAAAGTTGTATTTTTTTAATCCTCACTGAGGATATGATTTCATTGATTTCAGAGAGAGAAAAAAACATTGATGTGAGAGAGAAACATCAATTGATTGCCCCCCATACGTACCCTGACTGGGGATCGAACCTGTGACCTTTTGGTACATGAGACAACACTCAATCAATTAAGCCACATCAGCCAGCCCATGTAAAGCCTATTTTTAAAAGCAAGAGAACCCTAGCTGGTTTGGTTCAGTGGACAGAGTGTTAGCCTGTGGACTGAAAGGTCCCAGGTTCAATTCTGATCAAGGGCACATGCGGGGTTGTGGGCTTGATCCCCAGTAGGGGACATGCAGGAGGCAGACTATCAATGATTCTCTCTCATCATTGATGTTTCTCTCTCTCCCTCTTCTTTCCTCTCTGAAATCAATAAAACAATATTAAAAAAATAAGTGGAACAACAAACTGACATCCCGGTCTCTGTCTCCCCCTCCTTTCCTCTCTAAAAGCAAACAATAAAATTTTTAAAAAAGAACAAGAGGTCCTCTTACTGTTGGACATGCAAGGGGAATACCACCAGACGTCATTAAACAAATATGTCAATTCACATGTTCTCTCCCTAAAGGCCTCTCTGTTTATTCTTGCCAAGCCAATCGGAGTCAATATAACCTGAAAGTCAAGCCACTGAGTGGCAACAGAGTTAATTAAGTTCCCATACTTAACCTGGTTCTCAAAATTTCCTTAATCCAACCTCTAAATATAAAAGGACACACAGCTTCTATGAAATGCAATCAAGTCACACAGAACTAGTTCCTGCCTTTAAGTTATAAAACCCATTATAGAAAGATGGAAAAGAACATTCATTTATACTGATGTTTATTTATTTTTTAAAAAATATTTTTTATTGATTTTTCACAGAGAGGAAGAGAGAGGGATAGAGAGTTAGAAACATCGATGAGAGAGAATCATCGATCAGCTGCCTCTTGCACACCCCCCACTGGGGGTGTGCCCGCAACCAAGGTACATGCCCTTGACCGGAATCGAATCCGGGACCTTTCAGTCCGCAGGCCGACGCTCTATCCACTGAGCCAAACCAGTCCTGGCCATTTATACTGATGTTTAGATTAGCTACTTGAAACTTTTAAAAAAATATATTTTATTGATTTTTTACAGAGAGGAAGAGAGAGGGATGAACGATAGAAACATCAATTAGCTGCCTCTTGCACACCCCCTACTGGGGATGTGCCGGCAACCAAGGTACATGCCCTTGACCAGAACTGAACCTGGGACCTTTCAGTCCACAGGCCGACGCTCTATCCATGGAGACAAACCGGTTTCGGCAGCTACTTGAAACTTATCCTACAATGCCAAAAGGATATTTACGCAGCAAGGCTTTTAATAGCTAATACTCAGGAACAACCAAAATGTCCATCAACAAAGGACTGAAAAACAGAATACCTCAAAAAAATGGGACTTTAAAAATGAGGTAGGTTCACAGAACTGATTCAAAAAAGTGTCTTTATATTAAGCCAGGTGCCCAACAGTATTACAGTCTGAACCCCTTCTAGGGAGTGGAATTCTGGGCTGGTCTCCCCAGAATTCCCTTCGGTAAAGGATTCAAAGTGAAGAAATAAGGAATTCTACCTTTATGCTTTATACACTTTTACGCGGTATGAATTTTTTACTCGATGTTCTTCTGTGGTGTTAAAGGAAACCTACCACCAGAACACACGGCTGTAATCCACTGAAAGGAGAAATAAGGATAAGCTGTCAGATAAACGCTGTAGCCTGGACCCAGACGGAATTCAGGGAAGACCGGCCCTTAAGGTGCCCTGCTCCGTGGGCAGAGGCTGGGATGGGGAGGGGCGCCTCTCTCCCCCGCCTGCACCCCAAACCTGCTTTTCCAGCCGCATCAACCCTCAAAGCAAACGCTGACGGTCCCTTCAGAAGGAGCTGCACACCTGAACCAATGCAAATAACGCTGAATGTGAACTAATGGAAACATTAAAACCTTTTAAAAAGAAGGAGATCTTGCAACTCCATTGCCGGGAAGAATGGTTAACCTTTGTTGTGAGTCTGAAAGCTCCGCAGGTGGAAAGAAGACAAGAAGTGACAGAGACGGTGGGGAAGAAGCGCCAGCCGGGAGGAAGGGCCTGGGAAGGGCCTGTTAAGAAGAGGGACTCACCGCCGGAACCAGTGTGGCTCAGTGGATAGAGCGTCGGCCTGCGGACTGAAAGGTCCCAGGTTCGATTCCGGTCAAGGGCATGTACCTTGGTTGCGGGCACATCCCTGGTGGGAGGTGTGCAGGAGGCAGCTGGTCGATGTTTCTAACTATCTCTCTCCCTTCCTCTCTGTAAAAAATTAATAAAATATGTATTTTAAAAAAGAAGAGGAGGACTGACTCAACAATAAAGACTTAACTTTTTTTTTTTTAAATCTTCAAAAAAATAAAGAGGGAGTGAGGACAGGCAGGCGGGGCTGAGAGGATTATCACGCCTTGAAGAATCGTAAATGCTGGTGACAGCCATTCCAGTGGGAGGCTTCCCCACACTCCCCACCGTGTGTCACTCTCTCTCATCCACAAACACACACACACACACACCCCACCGTGTGTCACATACACACACACACACACACCCCGCCGTGTGTCACATACACACACTCACACACACACACACACACCCCACCGTGTGTCACATACACACACACACACACACACACACACACCGCCGTGTGTCACTCTCACACACACACACACCTCACCGTGTGTCACACACACACACACACACACACACACACCACCGTGTGTCACTCTCTCTCACACACACACACACCCCGCCGTGTGTCACTCACACACACACACACACACACACAGGCCCGGCACTCACCGCCATGAGTTCCCTTTAGATGGATTCACTCGGAAGCCCAGGTGTTCCCGTAACCACACGCCCGCCCGCCCGGGCCCCCGGCGCCGCCCGCCATCCCCGCTCCGCACCGGGCACCGCGCACCGAGGACCCCGCACCGGACACCCCGCACCGGGCACCCCGCACCGGGCACCCGCACCGGACACCCCGCACCGGGCACCCGCACCGGACACCCCGCTCCGGACACCCCGCTCCGGGAAGGCCGCACCGGGGACCCCGCACCGGGCACCCCGCTCCGGGAAGGCCGCACCGGGCACCCCGCACCGGGCACCCCGCACCGGACACCCCGCACCGAGGACCCCGCACCGGACACCCCGCACCGGGGACCCCGCACCGGACACCCCGCTCCGGGCACCCGCACCAGGGACCCCGCACCGGGCACCCGCACCGGACACCCCGCTCCGGGAAGGCCGCACCGGGGACCCCGCTCCGGGAAGGCCGCCCTGCCCCCGGCGCCGCTCCGGCGTGCGGAGGCCCCGCGCTGACAGCGCCCCCGGCACCGGCTCGGGCCCGGCACGGGCGCGGAGGGGCCGGGGGCCACGGACCCGAGCCGCCCGCGCGGCCTGCCTGGTCCTCCCGCCGCAAACCTCCCCGCCCCCCGCCCGGGCAGCCGCCCGCGTCCCGGTCACGGCCGGCCCGAGGCCGCTCGCCGGGCACCGCCGCCCTCCGCGGGCCCGACACCCGCCCGCGCTCACCGACTCCCGCCGCGGCCGCCCCGGGCGCCGACGGACGCCTGCGCCGCGCTCCGCTCCTCCTCAGCCGAGGGCGGCGCCAGGGCGGGACGCGGCGACGCGGCGCTCCGCAGCGACCAATCGGCGCGCGGCAGGTGATGCGCCGGGGGCGGGGCGAGGCTCCGGGGGCGAGGCTCCGGGGGCGGGGCTCCGGGGGCGGGGTCATGACATCGCAGCGCCGCCGGACTCCGCGCAGGGCGACCCTCCGGCGGCCGCGCCGGGGCTGCCAGCGCCGCGTTCCTGCTCGCGACCCCACGTGCGGGGTCTGCGAGGCCACCTCCGCCCCTGCACCTGAAGGCGGGCCCTCCTGGCCTCTAGCGCCGCCCAAAGGCACTGGCTGCGACCTGCCCAGAGCGGGCACGGCGCCGGAGGGTCTCGGGAACCCCCCACCAGCTTGGTCGCCCCCAACTGCCCCCCCCACCCCGGCCTGGTCGCCCCACGCAGCCTGCTGCTCAGTGATGTGGTCGGCCCTCGCTAACGCCCTGCCAGCTTTGTCGTCCCTGCGGCCTGCTGTTGGGTGGTCACTGTGAGGGCATCCTGACCGGTTTGCATATTGCTCTTTTGTTAGTAGAGATGTAATTCTGTCCCAGGCTTGGGTGGCTGTAAACGCACTCTTCACCAACATCCATGTCTGGTGGGATGTTTCATGGTGGGCAGGACATGGAGAAATTCTCCTTGGGCTCCACCGCACTGTGCATTGTGAGCACCTGCCTCCCAGGCCCCGCCTCCTAAATGGGGTGATGCTCAAACCACTGAACAACCAATCAGAACAGATGCCACCGGCACCGTCCTGTGCAATGGGCTTCCTCTCTGATCACACGGTCACCCTAGGATTTCCCCGCCATTCCCCAGATGTCCTCTAGAGGGCAGTACGCCTCCGCTGACAACCACCAAGATCCCATGCTGCACCCGCCTCTCCTGTTCACCTTTGAGGATTACTCAGCCCTGCAGGTGGATCTGAGGGCCCTCCTTTGTCAGTGAGGAGAGGGGCGCCGGAAGGTCCACAGAACCAGTGAACGCAAAACCTGGATCGAAACGCCATCTCCCTGGCTCCAAGCCATTGGCTTCCCTGCATCACCCTGACCTTCCCCTAGCTCACTGGGTTAGGGTTTCAGAGAGGAAGGGAGAGGGAGAGAGATAGAAACATCAGTGATGATGCGGGAGTCATTTGTCAGCTGCCTCCTGCACGCCCTACACTGGGGATCCAGCCCACAACCTGTGCCCTGACCGGGAATGGAACCTGTGACCTCCTGGTTCATAGGTAAACGCTCAACCGCTGAGCCACATCAGCTGGGCCAGAATTAACTTCTTAACAAGAATAATCTATGTCACTGTCAGTTTTTATATCATCCATCTGAAAGATTTAAAAGAATATATTTTATTGATTTTTTACAGAGGAAGGGAGAGGGATAGAGAGCTAGAAACGTCGATGAGAGAGAAACACCGACCAGCTGCCTCTTGCACACCTCCTACCGGGATGTGCCCGCAACCAATGTACATGCCCCTGACTGGAATCGAACCTAGGACCTTTCAGTCCACAGACCGACGCTCTACCTCTGACCCAAACCGGTTTCAGCTGAAAGATTTTTTTTAAAAAAGCATTTAGGTGGTCAGCCAAAAATATGGTTATTATTTTTAAAATCTTTATTGTTGCAAGTGCTCCATATGCCCTCTCTTTTCTCCACATTGACCCCTTTTCTCCACATTGCCCCGCCCCGGGGTTATTATTATTAGCTGTTTATGTAACAGTGGCCCATTGTATAACCGTGGAAATTGACTTTATTAACATTTACAAATATAAAGTGTGCTGTGCTGGGACTAAGGACTAAGGATTTACCAGTCTTCTAATCGCTTCACCCTCCCATTGTCAATGTTGAAAGTGCTTTCCTGGCTTATGTTCCTTCCATGCAAGTGGGAGTCACACAGGGAATTCCCTTTTCTGCAAGACTCACAGAGGCACAGCCTTCCCCACGTTCCGGCACTCAGCCCTCATTAAAAGCTATCCTCGTGTGGTGTGCTGGTCACCTTTTTGTTTAGAGTAACGCTATCATTCTAGAAGCCAAATAACTCATCAACAGAATAATCACACACTACAGCAATCAGTGCCCATCTCTAAGCAAAAGGGCCCGAGATTTCCTTTTGAAGATGCATTTTTAATGATCACATTTCACGGAAGAGCTGGTGGCCGTGCCACGCTCTGAACCGCGTCCCGAGAGCAGCGTGGGGCAGGCAGGCCGTGACCTGCTCCTTTTGTCCACCCTCCCGACCCTTCTTCGGCTGCCCAGTTCTGTGGCCAGAGCGCTCACACAGACCTCAGAAAGTCAACTTTTCTTAAAATGGACGAGACACAGCCACCTGACGAATGTCAAACTCGTGTCATTTGCCAAAGGTGCAATGTTCAGGCATCTCGTTTTTGTTCACAGAGGGTTCCTAAGACAGGGCACTCGAACCCTAAGGCAGGAAACGGAGGTGTCCACGTGGCTGACAAAGGCGCTGGGAGTCCCACACCTGACAGAGACAGGCCCAGGCGTGTGCATGCAAACACATCACCTCAGTCTCTGAGAGAGAGGAAGCGGAGTGAAATCGTACGCTTCCGCTGAGCCCAGGGGCTTTTCACTCCGGGAAGACCAGAGTAAGCACTCAAACTCTCTACAGCAGACACAGGGACCTAGTTCTAGAATAGCTACGTCACCAGCGTGGCCGGGCCCTTTCTGCAGCCAATGGATGGTGAAGTTGGGGAGGAGAAAGTACAACCCAGATATACTTTTTAGAATTCAGTGCCACAGAGAAGACCTTTCTAAGGAAAAGCAGTGACTCCCGAGGCTGCAGTCCTCATCTTAACACTTCCACCCACGGGCTCCCAAAGCCGTACAACCGTGTTCAGCTTTGATAACTCAGCTGCCTGCATTCTGGTTCCGGCTGATGACTTTTGTGTGTTGGGTTTGTTGTTGTTGTTGAAGTGCCGGTGGTTGAAGCTGGCAAATGCAACGGGTTTGAAGGTATTAGAGTAAATCTGCACTCCGAGGTTTGGTATCCCTTTACCATTCCCAGCCCAAGCCCCTGTCCTAAGGCATCTCACCTGATGACTGACAACTGAACTAGGATATGGATTAAATTGTTTTCTGAGGGCGTCTCTTCTTCCCTTGCTCTTTTCCCAGAGCAAAGCTGGCTGAGCCTTTCTGTGACAGTCTCTCCCAGCTTCCTCCTTACACTTCACCGGAGCTGTGATCAGTTCTGTGAGAAGTTCGGCACACGGTTCTCTCCCGCCTGTGTCACAGCCACACCTCCAGCCTGTGTGTGCGATGTCAGCCCAGCTGAGGATGGTGTGGGGCGGGCCTGTGAGCGGTGAGAGGGTCAGGTTTTAATGAATTTCCACATATTCATCCAGTTGAAAAAGCCTGCCTTGACTCCAGGTGTTCTCTCCCCTTCGCCCTGATCAATGCCACCTGGGCTTCCCTCCGCGACTTCTTTGGATTTGATAAGGGCCTCATACGTTTCCTGGGCTCTTGCGATTTCTTTCTGCGCGTCAAAATGGACTTTCTGCCTGGTCAGGAGGGGAACGATCAAATTAAAATCATTCACGCGCTTGTTTAGCTTCCTGATGTCTTCCCGGAACTGCTCACACGCTTGGTCCCACTGTTTCTGTTCAGGGGGCGTCATGGGGTTCCCCAGTTTCTTCCTGGACGCTACCATGGATGCTCGGAGCTGATCAATGGTGTCCTTTATCTCCTTTTGCATCAGGATCCATTCAGGTTGGTAGCCGTTATCTATCAATATTCTGTTCAGGTTGTGAGTCATGGGATCAATATACGAACAGCCAGCAAACTTCTGGAGAGGTTTCCCTTTCCCGCTGAGGTTATCAAAGTCTCCCCTGGCCATGGACTCCTGGATGAGATCCTCCACTAAGCGCTCTATTGCTTGCGTTATCTTCTGTTCCTTACTCTGCCTCACGTCTTTGACAGTTAAGCCTTCAGGGAAGTACTGGCTATGCAGCTTCTGCTTTTGATATTCCAGCACTTGCTCGGCGGCACGGTCCGCTCTGAACTGCCTGTACTGCTTCTCTCGTTGGCTCGGAGTCCCAAAGCCAATCCCTTCGAAACTTAAATAATGCCTGTGCTGGGGTGCCTTGTATTTGGAGTCTTCTTCCTCGTCGTCCGCATCTTCCATTTTCTTCCGCCTGGCATCTGCTTCTTGCATCACGTGGGAGCGTACCGCCCTGTACGCCTCTTCGATCTTTATAAACGTTGCAGAATCCGCCGTGGGAGAGCCACTGTCGGGATGGTACTGCTTGGCGAGCTTCCGGAAAGATTCCCTGACATCGTCGGCGGAGCATCCTTCTTCCAGATTCAGCCGCCTGTAATATTCCCTCATCTTCTTTGGTGATTTATGAGTGGACATCATCCTACTTCTGGCGACTCCAAGAGATGGAAGCATGTTTATTCGATGACGAATCATTGCAGCGAGTATCAGATGAGATCCTAAGAGTTGAGCCATCATCACGTACAGGTGTTGATGATCACGCCCAGAGTTCTTCCTAGTGATGATCTATAAAATGACAACACACAAAGGGGATGAGAGTGGGATGATCTAATTTCATATTTTCAGCAACAAGGAAGAAATTGCAAGCACAATAGGGGCAGTTCTTCCTAAGCCAGCTGCCAACATTCTTTTTTTTTTAAAAAAATATAATTTTATTGAGTTAAAAAAATATATTTTATTGATTTTTCACAGAGAGGAAGAGAGAGGGATAGAGAGAAACGTCGATGAGAGAGAATCATCGACCAGCTGCCTCTTGCACACCCCCTACTGGGGATGTGCCCGCAACCAAGGTACATGCCCTTGACCGGAATCAAACTTGGGACCCTTAAGTCTGCAGGCTGACACTCTATCCACTGAGCCAAACCGGTCAGGCTGCCAACAATCTTCTAGCTATATTTCACTGTTAGCAGAGAAATGGAAGTTGATGATGTCTAGTGTTAACACATTGTGATACAATCTGGATTCTACTCACTCAGCTCAGAATTTTAGAGCAGGCAAGTTCTCAGAGATCAACTAATCCAGTCTCCTATTTTTAAGAGAAAATGTAAGCCCAGAAGGTTAAGCAGCATAACCAAGTGGCATAACAAGCAACAAGCACAGTGTGAGCCAAATGGTTAAGGTTAGGGCACCCTCCAATGTCTGGCCCAGCTGCCTGGGGGAGCCGCAGCCTATGGACCAGGAGGTCGGGAGGATTCCCGTCAGGGCACGTGCCTGGACGGTGGGCTCCGTGCCCCAGGAGGCAGTCCATCCCTGATGACCTCATCATTGATGTTCCTACCGCTCCCTCTCCCTTCCTCTCTAAAAATCAATGAAAATAAATTTGAAAGAATGTCTGTCTGCGTCCCCGGCTGGCGATAAATTTCAGCACCACTGTTCCCTTGGTGTTCGACTGTGTCACCACCTCAAGGACGATGACAGACTCACACACAGGACCCGGAGGAGGACGAGGCGGCCTGCAGCTAGGGGGGCTGACACGGGGTGGAATGAATGGAGCACCCCGCCGCAGCGGCTGCCTGCGGGGGAGCAGAGCAAATGGGGAGCCCCCCGCCCCCGACCTGCCAGCTGTTACGTAAAAACACGGCGCGCGCAGGACAGAGACGGGACTCGATGGCAGTGCCGCGGGGCAGAGGCACGACCCTAAGGGGCATCTGAGGTGTGAACGCCGGGCCTGAGCCGGGACCCACCTCTCCGGGCACCTGGGGTCCACGGCTTCCAGAGCGGCTGGGAGGCGGCGGCAGCGCCAACGGGGTCGCCGCGGGGGAGCGTCAATCCCCAGGCGGGACACGCCCCGCGCGTCCCCCTCACCTTCCCCGCCGCGGGGAAGGGGCTGCGCGGCTTCCGCCCCCACGCCGCCCCCCGCGCATGCGCGCCCGGGCCGCCCTCCCCTCCCCGGAGCCTCCGCGCGCGGCCGGGGTCTCCTCGGGCCAGACCATGTGCCCTTTCACACTGAGGGGAACTGCGAGGCGGCGGGGGCCGAGTCGTCCCTAACCGGGACAGGTGTCCTACCTTCCCGGGATCCCAAGGTCCCCTCTCAACGGATTTTACCACGAGGACACAGGCAGGACATTTCAGGAGGTCGGTCCCGCCCCGGGGCGACCTGGTCCACCTCCCCCCCCACCTCGAGCGGGAGGTGGTCCGGCCGATTGGGATTGTGGGAGTTGTAGTTCTCGGGGAAGTGCGACGCGCCCTGGTCGCCGCAGTGCGCCTGCGCCTCCGCCTCCGCCTCCTGTGAGCTTGGTGGGGAGGAAGCCCGGTGTAGCGGAGCTGTGGGTGCCGCGGAGATGGAATAGGCGGATTTGCGCAGGGCTCGTGCAGAGGGTGCAGAGCGTAGGTTGGAACCCTTGAAGTCTTTTTTGGGGGGGTTGGTGGTGGGGGTATTGATTTCAGAGTGGAGGGGAGAGGAGAAAGGGAGGCATCAATGATTAAAGACTCACTGATGGGCTGCCTCCTGCATTATCAGAGCTCAAGCCGCAACCCAGGCATGCTGGGAAGCGAACCCCAACCTCCCTGGTTCATAGGGCGAGGCTCAGCTGCGGAGACACGGAAGCCAGGCTTGAAGTATTTTTTTAAGTTATTGATTTTGAGAGACATGGGTTTGCTCTTCTGTTGTATTGTCAATCATCGAATGAGGTACAAGCCGCCTTCATGAGCCAATTAATTAGGAGTCATTTATTGCTCGCGGCCCAGAGGGAGGTGTTCCCTCCAAATCTCTCAGCCCTGAAATAGAGGAAGTCTCCGTATTTATACTTTTCGAGCCTCTTTGTTTGCAGATATTACAAAGGGCTCTGTGTGGGTTACTGTTACAGACCGTGTAACCTTGAATACATAATGAGTTAGTATTTGGCATAAGAATATGGGAATTATTATCAGTATTGTCTATTTTAGTCTTTTTACATTGGATGGCTAGCTTGCAAGGTCAGACAGTTAAGTTTATCTTTTTCTGTTATTTGAACTAAAAACAAAGTTATTTTACAGAATGGCAGACTGTCTTAAGGTGACAGAGCTTATAATGACAGAGTGTACAGGACTAGGGACTATCTAACAATAGCAGGGAGCTTCAAACAGCAGTTTTTTATACAAGATGGAGGTCACTCTGCTTCAGTCCCACTTATTTATGCATTCATTGGTTGCTTCTTGTATGTACCCTGACCAGGATCCAACCCACAACTTTGGCGAATGGGGCAGATGCTCTAACCAGCTGGCTACCTGACCAGGGCTGGGACTCTTGGCCTCAGTCACTGTTTTGGGGAGGGAGACGAGTTATTTCCCAGAACAGCCTCTTCGGGGCCTGCTGATGGGGACCGCTGTGCAGACACCACACAGATCTACCGAGTCCAGAAAGGTGTAGCCAAACCCGGCTGGATGCCCAGCCACCATCAGCTCACAAGTACTTAGTGGGCAGCTCGCTCAGCCAGGCGTTGGGACTGGCTGAGGACAGTCCAGGGCAAAGTCAAAACAGGGGTCTCCTGGCTTTAAGTGGGGACTTACTATGGGCAAGTAGTTAAAACAAGAAAAGAGCTCTGGCCAGTTTGGCTCAGTGGATAGAGCGTCAGCCTTGGGACTGAAAAGTCCCAGGTTCGATTCTGGTCACGGGCATGTACCTTGGTTACCGGCACATCCCCAGTGGGGGGGTGTACAGGAGACAGCTGATTCATGTTCCTCTCTCATCGATGTTTCTAACTCTCTGTCACTCCCCCTTCCTCTCTGTAAAAAAATTAATAAAATATATTAAAAAAAACAAAACAGGGAAAGAAAAAGAAGCTTGGAAGTCAGACCTGGGTTTAAAATCCTCTTTCTTTCATTTGCTTTTCTCTGTGCCTGTTTGTCTGTAAGATGGGAGCACCAATCACTGGTAAACGTGTATGTGGTGCTTCGTTTTTGCCAGACATGGTGCCAAGAGCTTTGAAATACAGTCCTGCAATCCTTACAGCAGCCTTGGAGGCAAAGGTGCTGTTTCCCCACTTTCCATGTGATGAAACAGTTGCACCAGACTCAGAGTTTTTGTGCCAGTTGCCATGATAGAAGCCACTTGGCACCGTGCCTTTTCACTGTGACTATGCCTCCTAGAAAAAGCCGGACTAGGTCCTCGCTGTTGGGAGCTCCTGAGTGATAGACAACATAATAATGGGCCTTTCTCTCTTTAAAGCTTTATCTGCTGCTGCAGAGGGATTTCCTTACAGGCAAACAGCATACAAGTTCCTACAGGTGTTGACTCTCCTAGTCAGCATCTTCAGCCCGGCATTGGAAAGCACCCGTGCCGCTTACCACACACTCAGACCTGCAGGGCGCTTAGCATTTCACAAGCTGCCAGCACAAATCTCATTTTGATGTTTGCATCTAAGTAACTCATTTAAGTTGTTAAATGGCAAAGCTAGGACTAGAGGATCAGTTTTGCTTTTTAAAAAAATGTTATTGATTTTTTACAGAGAGGAAGGGAGATAGAGATAGAAACATCAATCAGCTGTCTCCTGCACGCCGCCTACTGGAGATCTGCCCGCAACAAAGGTACGTGCCCTTGACCGGAATTGAACCTGGAACCCCTCAGTCCGCAGGGCTACGCTCCATCCACTGAGCCAAATTGGTTTCGGCGAGGATCAGTTTTTTATTATTATTTTGAATATGTTTTTATTGATTTTAGAGAGAGGAAGGGCGAGGGAGAGAAATATCCATGTGAGGGAGAAACATCTGTCACTTGCTTTCTGTATGCACCGAGCCAGGTGACAGGGACCTGCCACCTGGGCAGATGCCCCAACTGGGAATCAGACCTGCAACCTTCCGGTGCAGGGGATCATGCGCCATCAACTGAGCCACACCGGCCAGGATAGGACTAACTTGAAATGAAGGCATGTTGGGTTAAATCAGGAATTTCCAACTGGTGTGCCACGAAAATTTTTAAAACATACACTGCCTATGTAGTCGGGTACCGACTTTTAAAATTTTTTTAAAAAAATATATATATTTGTATTGATTTTAGAGAGGAAGAGGAAGAGATAGAAATGTCAATGAGAGAGAATCGTCCATTGGCCACCTCCCACACTCGCCCCATCAGGGGTCGAGCCCATAACCAAAGGATGTGCATTGACCGGAATTGAACCCGGGACCCTCCAGTCTGAAGCTCTATCCACTGAGCCAAACCAGCTAGGGTGGGTACTGACCTCTTTTCTCTTAGATTGTCAAATAAAAAAAATGACAACCAACACCACAATAATCATCTGGTGTGAATGAGTCAAAATTATACCTATTTTTTTTCTCAGATTGGCAAAAATATATTTTTTAGTGTGCTGCAGAATTTTAGTAATTAGTTTATGTGTGCCATGAAATGCGAAAAGGGTTGAAAATCGATATTCATGACATTTCCTAGTTTAAAGTATCTTTTTCATAATCCTGTTCTCACAATGTAGTTGAACGTTTTTTTTAAAGTAGCACACAATTTGATTTGATTTTTGTAAAATATATATATTTAAATATATTTTATTGATTTTTTACAGAGAGGAAGAAAGAGGGATAGAGAGATAGAAACATCAATGAGAGAGAATCATTGATCAGCTGCCTCTTGCACACCCCTCACTGGGGATGTGCCCACAACCAACCTACATGCCCTTGACCGGAATCGAACCTGGGACCTTTCAGTCCGAAGGCCGACGCTCTATCCACTGGCCACACCAGTCAGGGCTACTTTGAGTTTTTACGCATTAATTCACACAGGTTCCAGGAAAGAGCACGGCCTCTGTGAGGTACGCAGGCTGCCTGGCTTGAGAAAGAACGGCCACAGATGGTCTCCCTCAAACGGTGGAGGTGGTGGCACCGTTTACGCTGAAGGATGAGTCAAAAGCAGCCCACAGAGTTAAGAAGCCAACTTAAAAAATAAACTGTTTTGCCCTGGCCGGTTTGGCTCAGTGGAACATCAGCCTGGGGACTGACGGGTCCCGGGTTCGATTCTGGTAAAGGGCAGATGCCTAGGTCTCAGACTTTATCACCAGTGGGGGGTGTGCAGGAGGGAGCTGATTGATGATTCTCTCTCATCATTGATGTTTTTCTCTCTCTCCCTCCCCCACTTCCTCTCTGAAATCAAGAAAAATATATTTTAAAAAACTTAAGAAGATATAGAAACATCAATGATGAGAATAATGGATCAGCTGCCTCCTGCATTTCCCCTAGTGGGCCTGTGCTCTTGACAAGAATCAAATCTGTGACCCTTCAGTCCCCAGGCGGACGCTCTAGCCACTGAGCTAAGCCAGCCAGGGCAGAAACTGGGCTTTGTGTGTCTTCCTGAACCCCTTGCTGTTGGGACATCGCTTCAGCTGTGGGGCCAGACCTTTGTCCCAGGGGCGGGGGGAGGGGGCTGCCGAGCTTGGCACCCACTGTCAGGTGAGTGGCAGTGTGACCCCGGCTGAGGGCAGGTGGGTGACCTAAACATGGCCAATCAGACGACCCTGCCTAGGACTTCAAGGCTGAATGATCGGCCCAGAGGTACAGGCGACCAATGTGTGGCCTATTTTTTTTCTTAGAAAAGCAAGAACTTACTGACCAAAGCAAACTCTCAGGACAGTGCAACAGGGCATAGAGGCAACAGGAGGCCCAGGCTGGGCTGCTTTGGCTCTGAGAAGTCAGAGGACCGGGGCCTTGGGACAAGGTCTGGGTGAGCCAGGACCCGCTGCCGCCCACCGCTCCCCTGGCTGCACATCTCCTGGGGCCCCTTGGAGGGTAGATGCGACCTGGGGGGAGAGAGGGGTGGGCGTGCTCCCTGCAGGGGGAGCTCACCAGAGTGCGTCTGGCGGTGGGGCAGCCACAGGCCGAGAGCCCATGGGAAGTGGAACCATAGGGCCCTTGCCAGCCTCTTCCTGGGGCACGATTTGGGCTATTTCTGGCCACAGCACGAAGGCGCCCAGGAGAGAAGCAGTGAGTGGCTGCAGCACATTAAGCGCAGTGTAACTAAACACCACTGTCTTGTACTGGAGTTATTTAAGTTTGTACAGCAGTTAAAGGTAGGCAAGTATTGCCCTGACTAGCTAGTGCAGGCGGTTGGAGCATTGCATCCGTGTGCCAAAGGGTGTGGTCTCAATTCCCAGTCAGGGCCTATACTGGTTGCAAGTTCAATCCCTGGTGTGTGTGGGAGGTGTACAGGAAGCAACCGATGGATGTTTCTCTCACGTCAATAAAAACTTATCCCTGGGTAAGGATTTAAAACTATAATAGAAAAAACGGAGGGGGAACCTGCACATAAAGTCGCTTTGAGTAACATTCCTCTGGAGGACATTTGGAACTCACCCGAATCCTTTCTGACTGCTGTGTAACCTCTGGGCTCACTGATGGCAGACCCCTCCCCCCCAGCTCTGTCTCCCTATCTTCCTTTCCGAACACAGAGTGCTCAGTGGCTGAGATGTCTCTCCTGCTTACACAAACAAAGACATCTGTAATAAAATGTCCGTGTTTATTACGCCAGTAAAACGTTGACCTGTTTTTATCGCTTGGTTATGGCTCTGTCATAGCTTAAAGGACTGTTCTCCGTATGTACCATGATGAACACATTCACATGTCCACATAATGCTCATCACAGGCGGGGCTGCCCGGCCGGCTGCTGCTTGTCCCAGCGCCCCTGCTCGTCCCAGGTGTGTGTCCGGTTCCTGACAATCCCATGTTCACACGCATTTTGGTTCTTCCAGTTCCAAGACGTGAACTGGCGGTGCCCCCGGAGCCAGGGTCCCTGTAGGGGCGGCCACGTCAGAGCGAGCTGGGAGTTTACCTCCGAGGTCTGAAGCTTACGTTGGTCTAACGTACCTCTCGGCATGGCCTCTGCCTTTAAAGCATGAGATTGTTCCTCTGTGAACGTCACAGGCCAGAGTTTAGCTTAACATCCAGTGACGCTCCAGACCCTGAGGGCCGACAGCTCCTGAGCGAGGGACGGAGTGCGGATGGCCGAGCCTCTGTGCCCCGGGTCCGCTGAGGAGAGGGGGTAGCCGTTGGCCGGGCCCAGGAGCCTCCGAGGTGACGTTGGCCAGAAGAGGAGGGAAGAAGAGCTTGGTGGGGTAGAAGGAATTCTGAAGGGCCAGCTGAATCCCGAACAAGGCCGTGACAGGTGACCCTGCAGACCCCGGAGGCAGCACATCCATGTCCCGGGGTGCCACCAGCCTGCCTGTAACGAGTCGGTCTGTTAAAAAACGGCCAGAAGGAAACGGTGAGCTTCTGGGTGAGACGTGATAAAACCACGGGACCGTTTGTGGGAGCGGCTGCCCTCCTCCGGAGGCGGTGTCACTCCTCCTGGGCCCAGCGGAGCCGGCCGTCCTCGCCCAGCCGCACGGCGCCGCTGGCCACCAGTTGCAAGGCGGCGGGGAAGATCCTGTGCTCCGCCACCTTCACCCTCTCGGACAGGGTGGCCACGGTGTCGCCCCTCTTCACCGGCACAGCTTCCTGTAAGATAATCCGCCCGGCATCCACGTCCTCCTGGAAAAGGAAGCCACGTCTGAACGTGGTTCCAGCCGGCACCGCTCACCCCAAACCCCGTGCCACTGCGGTGGAGGCATACTCACAGCGACGAAGTGCACGGTGCACCCTGTCAGCGCGACGCCGGTGGCCAGGGCCTGCTCGTGGGCATTGGCGCCCTTGAAGGCCGGCAGCAGGGACGGGTGGATGTTGAGCATTCTCCCTGGGAGGGGAGCACAGGGTCAGAACTTCTCTGGAGAGTGTTTCTCCGTCAGACAGAGAAGGCAAAGGGAAGCACAGGCTTGTGTCCAGGTCCCTGCCCTGCAGGGCTGAGGACTCGCCGAGGGACCCACAGTGACTGAGGTTGGACAGGGGTGGGGCGGGGTGGGCGCTCCGTGGGCCCTGGGGCTTTGGAAGACAAACCCTCGCAGTGTCCAGTGGGACCAGCGGCACACCCACCAGCCAATGCCGGCTCAGCCCTGCGCCTCAGCACCACAGGTCCCGCCTGCTCATGGCGTGCGTGCCTGCTGTCCTCTTAGGTCAGCGGCTCTCAATCTGAGGGTCACAGCCCCTTTGGGGGTTGAACGATTCTTTCACAGGGGTTGTCTAAGACATCCTGCATGTCAGATGTTTATATTACCTTTCATAACAGCAGCAAAATGACAGTGATGAAGGAGCAAGAAAAATAACGTTATGGTTGGGGGTCACCACAGCATGAGGAGCTGTGTTAAAGGGCCGGGCGTTAGGAAGGTGGAGAACCACTGTCTTAGGGAAACGTGAACCCTTAGGAGAGAAAGTGCATTTCCTGCTCAGACGTGTGCACAACACACAGCAGGATGAGGGGAACGTTTGTGGGGAAAGGCAGTGACCCCAGGCATTTTTTTTCTGGCCACAACGGCCGCCCTGCCACCTCCAGCAGCGCCTGCACTCCCCGAGGAGTGGGTGGGGGGAGCCACTCTCTCTCGCTCCAGACAAGTAAAAGGCTCCTCCGAAGATGGCTCAGAGAGGAAGTGCTGTCTGTGTGGTGTGGAAACAGCCCTGCTCAGTTAGAAAAGGACCGGGTGACAGCAGGGTCCTGAGTCACCCGGGCATTCTGTGGGCTAAGGCGGACGAAGTGACCCTGTGACCCTGCCTCACAGTGTCAGGTACACACGCCACTGGGCTTGCCTGGCCCTCTCAACGCGGCACCAGGCAGCCCTGCTCACCATTCCACTTCCTGACGAAGGGGCCGGACAATATCCTCATGAACCCTGCCAGACAGACGATGTCCACGGAGAACTCTGCAAGAATCTGGTCAATGGCCTCGTCAAATTCGACACGGCTTTTATATAGCTTGTGATTAAGCACCTGGAGTAGAAAAACAGAAGCCAGATCTGTTTCAATGAAGGACACAAACAGTTCCATACTTGACCTTTCCACAGAAGACGTGCCGATAGAAAGAGGTAGGGAGCTGAAACCGGCGTTGCTCAGTGGATAGAGCCTGCGGACTAAAGGGTCCCAGGTTGGGTTCCTGTCAAGGGCATGTACCTTGGTTGCGGGCACATCCCCAACAGAGGGTGTGCAGGAGGCAGCTGATTGATGTTTCTCTCTCATCGATGTTTCTAACTATCCCTTTCCCTTCCTCTCTGCAAAAATCAATAAAATATAAAAAAGAGGTCGGGAATGGACGGTACGAAGCAGGAAGGTCGGCCCAGCACCACCCCAACCCAGAAATCCACAGGCCCCGTGCACGAGGCACGGTGTGAAAGACAGGTGTGAACAGCCGCAGTGGGACACGCCGAGGCCTACCCTGGTGGGAATGCCCGCACGGGCTGCTCGGTCCAACCCGGCCACCGCGGCCTTGTTGGAGATGACCAGGACGATGTGGGCGGCGCTGCTCGGCTCCCGGGTGCTGTCTATCAGCGCCTGCAGGTTCGAGCCTGAGGAGGAGAAACAGCAAGCTCACACTTCTTAAAGAGACACGTGCCCTTAAAACCACCCACCTTTCCAATTCCAGTTCGCATTCCGTGTCACATCAGTTCCAGGGGTAGCCAGTGGTTAGACATTTACGTAACGTCAAAGTGATCTAGCCCCGACCTGGCACCTCGTCAGCCCGTCACTGACGGGACCCCCGGGGGCTGCAGAGATGTCACCCTGCCCCTGGGGTTTATTTTGGGGAAAGGTGGGCGAGGGAAGGGGAGGCACAGCTCACCTGTCCCGGAGATGAGGACGGCCACCCTGGCCTTCTCCGGGGCTGAGAGGGGACCGGGCGCAGGGCCGTTGTGCAGCGCGGGCCCACTCGGCTGCAGGGCGTCCAGCAGGTGCCGGACTCTCACTCGGGGGGAACCTTCATTCACACACCAGGAGAGAAGCAAGCACAGCCATGACTTAGTGAGCACAGGCAGGGTCTGTGAACACTTCAGACGCTGTATTTTACTCTGAAGAAAGATGCGCGAGGAGGCCTAATGTAACAGCTTGTATTACTTAACCCCACTCCCTCATAACAGCCTCCTCAGGGGACACTGCCCGCAGCAGCTGAGGCTGTGGCAAGGACGAGACTGAGCCAGGGTGACACCCGGTGACCAAGCCCCGGGAAAAGCAGAGTCTGGTCAGGCCGCTTGGATGGGAGCCGAGCGGCCGGGGAAGGTCCCGGGAAGTGCCCCGGGACCAGCGTGCAGATGCGGAGGCATAGCCAGCACTGGGCTGTGCAGGAAACGGTGCCCATGGCGGGCAGCTGGGGCTGGACGCCCTGGGCCTCAGACGGCACTTGGGCACACCTTCCTCTCCCTGGAGTGGCACTCCCCCCCTACTCTCCCCCGCACCCAGGCGGGCTGTGTGTGTGGGTGCCTGTGCTGCGGCTCTGGAGGCCTGGCCCCTGCGGCAGAAGCGAAGAGGCAGGTGGTGTCACCATGTGGCTGCGGTCAGGCTACCCGTGCCACTGCGATGCCGGAGAAGAGGTGGGCGGACAGCGTGTGTGTGTGTGTGTGTGTGTGTGTGTGTGTGTGTGAGAGAGAGAGAGATGACAAGCACACTCAGGATCACACGCCAAAGAGCTAAATAAGGAGCGATACCTTCAGGGCGGGCCACCACCCGGCCGACCAGCCAGGCCTCCTCCTGGTGCTGCCGAACGTCCCTCAGCACCTGCTCCGCCAGGTCCGGCGACACCACCAGGGCAGCGCCGAGCCCGCAGTTAAAGGTCCTGGCCATCTCCTCGGCCGACAGGCATCCTTCGCGCTGCAGCCACGAGAAGATGGCGGGCACCCTCCAGGCCTGGGCATCTGCAAACGGGCAAGTGTGTCTGATTACCACCGTGGCTCTCTGAGGACGAAGGCGAGCTCACGCCCAGGGACCCCACAGCCTGCTCCTTCAGCTGCGATGAAGGTCACCATTCTATCAGCAGTCAGTCAGCAGCGACACAGAGGAGCATGATGTCTTATGGACACTCATTAAAAGCGATGCCATTATGACAGGTTAGTATTGATGGCACAGTAAATGGCAGGATAAACAGATTATACCCAACTACGATATTTTAGCAAAACATTTACAAAGTATTTATATAAAAATAAGACCAACAGCCCTAACCGGTCTGACTCAGTGGATACAGCATCAGCCTGTGGACTGAAGGGTCCCAGGTTCGATTCCGGTCAAGGGCTTGTACCTTGGTTTTGGGCACATATCAAGTAGGGGTGTGCAGGAGGCAGCTGATCGATGATTCTCTCTCAATGATGTTTCTAACTTTCTATCCCTCTCCCTTCCTCTCTGTAAAAAAAAATCAATTTTATATATATATAGATTTTTAAACACCAACAGGCTAAGAGCCTAGTTCCTACAAATGATCAAGCATGTCATGAATGACAAGTAACTTGAATGCCGAGAATTCCTTACGTAAGTCTGTTGTCAAAGTTTGTTCCTGGAGGAAACCTCAGAGGCTGAAGCAGGGACCTTTGTGTTGGGACAGACATTTGCGTAATTAAAACAAACAAAACCGGCTTTTAGGAACATGGCTACAGCAGGTTAGGTTCCTGAGGCGGCGAGCACCGTGTCCCTATAGCCAGGGGGTGCTGGTGCCCGCCCTGCAGCAGCCGACCGGCCGTTAGGAGCTGGCCGGGAAGGGAGGCTGACGCGGCAGGAGCGCAAACGCCCCGGGAGGCCCAGCCCCCGCTCCATCGTCAGCACGCCACTGCTCCGAATGACTTCAAGGTTCTGCTTATCCTCACGGGGCAACCTCTCTCCAGGGGTCTCTTAAACCACTACGATAACTCATGGGCCCTTGCCGCACCCCCCCCCCCCCCCCCCCCCCCCCGCTTCTCTCTTCCGCTTCCAGGGAGGCGCAATCCCAGGTGACTTCTCGCTCACGCCGCCTGGTCCCTCGCTTTCGCAGCACCTATTCTGCCTCTTGGGACTCTCCCAGCCTCACATGTGCTCCCCCCGAGGGCTAGCTCAGCACATCTCCCCAGCTGCACCCACAGCGCTCCGCCCCCCACTTCATGGTTTTCCGCTCTGTTCCAAAGCTACGCACGCATGCTCGTTCTCTGGGCGGGAAATTACACAACCCGCTGCAACTTCTCCGCCGTCCTGCTTGCCGTCCCAGTCCCGTTTCTGAGCCTGACGGCTTCCGTGTGTCTCTCTCACCGCAAGCCGCCAGCCCAGGCCTGGCAGGTCACTAAGCCCATCCGCTTTCACTGGGAAAGGCATCTATTTCTACCCGTCAGACCAGTGTGTACAGCAGGCGGACAAGCTCAGACAGTGTGTACAGCAGGCGGACAAGCTCAGACCAGTGTGTACAGCGGGCGGACAAGCTCAGACCAGTGTGTACAGCAGGCGGACAAGCTCAGACAGTGTGTACAGCAGGCGGACAAGCTCAGACCAGTGTGTACAGCGGGCGGTCAGCCTGCCCACGTGCTCTGCCTGTCTCTATCCCTATAAAAAGGGGGCACCCCGTCCTTCACCTTGCTCTGAGCAGAAGTCATTTCCCTCTCCTTTCACCAATCAGTTTCTGAGTCAGTGCTCTCTATCACGGTCTTTGTCTCTCTCCCCTATCAAGCTGCTATTTTACCCCAAGATGTGTGGGTCTATCCGGCCTGCACCCTAGAGCTACACGGCACCTGACCCAGCTGACCGGGTCCCGCTCGTCTCGCGGGGCTGATTCCTTTCCAGGGCTCACTCCCCAACGGCTCTTACAGTAACCCCACCTCTGCCGAGACCAGGCACTGAGGACAACCTCTGGCCTCTCCACTCTCTTGGCGCCAAAGGCGACTACCTGCACACGAGCACCCACCTTCCCTCAACCTGACCTCCCTTCTGACCAGGCTCCTTGCAATGAGCACCCTGAAGAGCTGAAACACGGATTCCAGCTCCTACTCCAAACCTACTTGCCCTCCTGCGTTCTGGATGCTGCCATCTCTCCCTCAGAGGCACCATGACCCAGCCCTGCCTACTCCCGCACGCCTTGGTCGGGGCCTCACCCCTGCAGAGGACTAGTCAGGGCTACCCCTGCCCTCCCTGCACGTCCCTGGGTCCAACACGACCGAGCTTGAGGCTACCAACCCCAGAGGACCTAACAGCGCTTCATCTGCTATAAGACAATCACACGAGGGGATTTCACAAACATGGAAGGAAGTAAGCAGAAGAGGTAAAAGGGGCAGCCCTGTTCCCCCCAGACACCGCAGGATGAGAATGTTCCACGTGTAATCACACGGGGACCAACCAGCCATAGGACCCCAGCGCCTCTCCTCTCCTACCGGCTCCGAGCAGAAGCGTCTGTAACGCGCTCACCTAGCTCTGCCCCGCAGCTCGGAGGGAGGACCCGCGGGATGTTCTCCAGCAGCCCGCCGCCGGTGATGTGGGCAAAGGCCTTGACGTGGCCTGAACGCAACACAGGTAGCAGGGAGTGGCTGTAGATTCTGGTCGGAGTCAGAAGTAAGTCTCCTGGATATCGGAGAGAAAAGACAGAAACTCAGTGAATAGAAATAGAAAACCAAACATAAAAAACAACAACAAATGCTCCGGCCGGTGGGTGAGTCACGGTTCAATTCCCATTCAGGCCACATGCCCGGGCTGTGGGCTCGATCCCCAGTGTGGGACATGCAGAAGTCAGCTGATGAATGATTCTCTCATTACTGATGTTTCTCTCTCTCTCTCTCCTCTCTGAAATCAATACAAATATCTTAAAAAACCTTAAGACAGTGAACTGAAGACGGAGTAGAGAACGCTTGTGGCTTCGTGCAGGCCAGACACGACCACAGGCCAGGGCCGCCTGTTCAGCTGAGCCACGAGAAGCCACCAGCTCCGTGGGGCTCAGACGTCTCCGAGCAAGTTCCCACCGAGCACTCACCTAAGGCCTGGTGGCCGCAGCCGGGGGGCGCCGGGGAGGAGTACTGGAGGGAGGACTTCGCTACTATCTTCCTCACAAGGCTGAACCCGTTGCTGTGGAGACCAGACGACGCCACTCCGATCACAACATCCCCCTCAGCGATGCTTTCCAGGCGAGGGAGCTGCTGGTCGCGCTCCACCGCGCCCACGGCGAAGCCGGCCAGGTCGTACTCCCCGGGGGCGTACATGCCCGGCATTTCCGCCGTTTCCCCCCCTGGCGGGAACAAACAACAACAGGAGACTCTGATATGTCTGCTTCTCTCTGGGACGGGGACACGCGCGGTAACCCCAAACCCCCTCAGTGCTCTCTGCGGGCTGTGCCGGGCAGCATTTCAGAGGACCCGGCGCTAATTCCCAAAGAGGGCGAGGCGGCTCCTAACACCGCTTGCAGGAGACGACGCTCCTCGAATAAACGTCACGTCCTAGCAGTCTGGTCCCGGCAATGCTTTCCCTGTAGCTGATCTTCACAGCCACTCGACCTATGTTCCAGGCCAGTGGTCCACGAGGTCCGAAAGGCTGGTAGCTGCTGTTCTAGGTGACGACACAGGCTGAGACAGCGGTGAAGCAGCCCGCCCAACGCCAAACGCCCTGAAAAGCACCCACAGGCCACTTCAGGATAACATCGTGCAAACACGGGGTCTAGTCACTCTGACTCCAAGTCAGAGGCTGTCCTGAAAAACAGCTGAAAAGGCAACTTTGGCTTCTGGAAGGGCCCTGTCCACAGAAATGGTAATACCAAGAGGTAGTTTTGTGCCTTGGTCAACCTGGATTCATTTTGCACAAGTCTCATACACATTTACGTAATCTATATATATAAAAGGCTAAAATGCTAAATGTCTGACTGGTCACTATGATGTGCACTGGCCACCAGGGGGCAGACACTCAATGCAAGAGCTGCTGCCATGCGCACTGGCCATCTACATAGAAATGGCACTTTGGACCTGGTGGCCCTAGGGAGTGTGACCTGGCCGAGTTCACCGTGGGGGCCGTAGAGTGGGACTAGCAACTCTCTCGCCTGGCGTCAGGACACCAGGGGCCACTCTCTCCCTCTGGGCAGCGTTTCTACTTTACTGGCCTCATCTTGTGATGCGTGGTCTTCTCTCCTTCGCTGTATCGGTACCGATCCCACTCGTACACGGGCTAACACACAGTGAAGGACATGTTATGTTAGGGGGCTCATACCGAGGAGGGCGCACCCAGCTTTCCTGCACGCTTCGGCGATGCCAGCGACAACGGCTGCAGCGGTGCCCACGTCGAGGTTCCCACAGGAAAAGTAGTCGAGGAAGAAGAGGGGCTCTGCGCCCTGGGCCAGGATATCGTTCACGCACATCGCAACCAAGTCCTGGCCGATGGTGCCGTGCTGCTCGCACTGCTGGGCAATCTAGGAACAGCACAAACACCATCACAACTCGTCAAGTTAGCAGCGGAGGCGCAAATACTGTCAGCTTCTGGCTAGCTGCTCTGAACAATAAAGACAGAAGAACACTAAATTCTGTGTTACTTGGTCCAAAGTACCCCCGTAAATAACCCTTCCATCCAGATAGAGCCTCAACATTATGTTATAAAACATGGAGATACTTTGGTCCTATCCTATGGTTGTGTTTGGGATGGTCCTCTTTAGTGCTTGAATGTCAAAAGGGGGAGATACGTGAATTCTCTCGGCTCACAAAGGTGTCTGATTACCTTCAGTTTCGTGCCGACGCCATCTGTTCCGCTGACCAGGAGAGGGTCTCTGTACCCTGCTGCTTTCAGGTCAAAAAGACCAGCAAAACCTCCCAGATCCACATCACAGCCTGAGGGGAGGAAACTCATGAGTCTGTGCATTTCTACGGACCAGGGCCCGCTAGTACACAGAACACTTCTCCATGCCTGCCCAGAGAACGTGAGCATAGCATGTGCTTAAAGCCTAATCGAGAAGTAATTAAACATTCAAGGGACAGACATACCTCAATGAGTTTAACACCAGAAACAAGAAATGGTTTTCCTTTCTTTTTTTGTTCACCCTCACCAGAGAATATCTTTCCAGATTTTTTAGAAAGAGTGGAAGGCAGGGGGCGAGTCAGAGAGAGAAACCACAATGTGAGAAAGACACATCGACTGGTTGCCTCCTGCACATACCCTCACCAGGGCCGGGGATCGAACCTGGGACTCTTCAGTCTGCAGGCCGACGCTCCACCCCCTGAGCGGAACTGGCTAGGACAATGAGATAAGAAAGCAGAAAACTGTGTGCCTGTCTGGCTTCCAGGGCATTGGTTTCGAACATTATCCTTTGAAAACTACAAAGTCCGTCAGTCCAGAGTGCTTGTCAGAGCTAACGGACCAGCCGAGGACTGGGCCGGACTCACCTGGTCTGGAGGTGGCTTTGGCTAGAGGCTTAATGTGCTTGACCAGCAGATTTCCAGCTGCAATGTCGACCCCCGAGTCCTTGTACGTCAGGCCCCTAAAGCAGCAGAAAAACCAAACCAAACTGAGGCCGTGACCTAACGGTCGGGGGAGATGATCCTGAGGGTGAACTGAGAACTGCCCCAGGGGAGCCCGCGCCATCACTGCCAGGGGTCTGCTCTCATTCCTCCCTCAGCGCCTCCACAGGGGAGATGCCGACAGTGGCCACAGCCTCTCTGAGTGCTGGTGTGAGAAGGGAAGGAGCCTCACAGCTAAGCCCAAAAAGTAACCATTAGCATTCTAAGAACTGGACCCGGAAACCCTTAGATGAAACCGCTCTCACTGCAATAACAGAGACTGTGTCTCCTGATCGCTGAAGACAGCTAAGCAACAGGATGAGCAGGAGGCAGTGGTGTTTGGCGCTCCTCCCGAGTCAGGCCGACGTGGAGTGGCACATGTGGAAATAAGCTTGAGTGGCACTGTGGGTTCAGTGGTCTTGCCTTACAAAAACGAGAGCGTGGGCCTGGTGGGATGCAGGGACACGGAGAACATGTGTGCAGCGGTAAGAACGTGTTTGGTTCTACTGGTCTAATGAACCTTCACCTGTAGGTGCAGTCCCTGCCCAGCCTGTGCCTCAGTGGCTGAGCGCCAACCCACGAACCAGGCCTCGGTTCTATTCCCAGTCAGGGCACATGCCTGGGCTGAGGACTCAAACTAGCTCTCTCTCCCTTCTCTCTCTGAAATCAATAAAAACACATTTTTCAAAAAGTCCATAAAAACAAAAACAAAACCGGATTGCAGTCCCTTGAAATAAGTCATTCCATGGAATCTACTCATTTTAAAATAAAAAAATAAATTTTTATCATGGTAAGCTAGTTATTTAAACTTTAAAAAAAACTTGCCTACAAGTAGCAGTATAGTTTGAATTAAATTACTAAACATTTATTTTGTCCTAAAACTTATTTATTACTCATAGTTGAACTCAAAAAGAATAGTAACTCTGATACAGTTAAGAAAGCAAAAACACCCACGTTGGTGATGAGAAGTTTATTCATTTTCACAAAGGAATGGCTGTACATGTCAATAAGCCAATCAGTAAGGGTGAGAGTCCATTCAGTGACAGATGGAAATGCAGGGACAGAGGAGACTGCCCAAGTGCATAGTTTCACCAAATTAAGTCACAAAAATAAATGACCAATAGTTCCATTTTGAATTCCAGCACAAAACCAGGAATAATGATATAAGCAGACAGTCACATTCAAATATATGATAATTCACGGAATAAGAATGTCTTCACTAGCTTTCCTGAGGAATAACAAATGACAGCACATAAAGTGGACAATGTGAAAAAAGGCCTTCACATCGCTGTTATTTTACTGGACTTTCCAGAGGGAACTCCCAGGAAGCACTTTCCATTTCATTTGACTAGTGTTGCAAATTTTTTATTTTCAAATACAAATCAAAATCTGATCAGCCCACAGGGAGAGCACGGGGTGCCCGAGCTCAGGGTCAGTGGGTCTGTATCCCCTCTGCTGCCCACCCCGCAGGACGTTACCTGGGCTGCTGCAGGAACGCTATGGCGCGGCCGCCAATGTCGGTCCTGTAGACGGCGCCCTCAAACTTTATAGCAGCCAGTCCTTGCTTGGCTGCTTCGAGGGCTGCGACGACTGTGTCCCGGATGGCGGTCACCGTGAGGACTCGCCCTCCGCTGGTCACCACTTTGCCGTCTTTCAGGGCTGTGCCTGCCTGGAACACCTCTAGCCCCAAAGCCTGGGCCTTGGCGACGCCTGTGGGACAGAACATTGGGCTCAGTAGCTGCAGTGAAAACGTTTTATCGGGTCTAGTAATAATTAATGTCGTTTTTAAACATTCGTTTAAAATCTTGCTTGGCGTTGACTTGTATTGACATAACCTTCAAACACTTGGTATCTACAGAACATGTGAAGTGCAATTAACAAGTTTTGCTTGAAAAAGTTTGTGTTTGGTTTGGTTTTTGTTGCAAAACTAGGGCTAAGAAGATGGCGGATGAAGAGCATATTTGGCACTGCATGCTTTATGGGTTCCAATTAGGAAGAAAAGCAAGTGAGGCTGCAAAAAACATCTGTAGTGCTCTTGGTCAAGATGCAGTTAGTGCCAGAAAATGCCAGCATTGGTTTGAGAAATTTCGCGAGGGAAATTTTTCGTTAGATGACAAGAGTGGTCGAGGCCGTGTGTCCAATTTTGATCAAGAAGCTCTTCAAGCTCTTTTGGTGCAAAATCCTCAAATTACCCAACAAGAGCTTGTGACAACTTTAAATTGTTCACAAATAACAATTTCCAATCAATTGGAAATTGATTTGCACTTGGCAAAGTCCAAAAGTTTGGAAAATGGATTCCTCATGAGTTGACCAACAACAACCGTAATCAAAGAGTCACAATTTGCAGTTCGCTCCTCTCTCTCGTCAAAACCGTTTGCAGTTTTTAGAGCAAATTGTTACCGGAGATGAAGAATGGGTGCTGTATGTTAATTTGAAAAGGCGGCCTCAATGGTTGGACAAAAATGAGGCTCTGCAGCCCACGCCAAAACCTGACTTGCATGCGAAAAAAGTGATGTTGTGTGTTTGGTGGAATTTTAAAGGAATTCTTCATTATGAACTTTTACCATCTAACCAAACCATTACAAGTGCAGTGTATAGTGCCCAATTGGAAAGGTTAGCCCAAGCTTTAAGAGAAAAAGAACCCGCGCTGATTAATCGGAAGGGCGTAATTCTTCACCACGATAACGCACGACCGCATACTGCAAGAATCACTGCTGAAAAACTGCGCCAGTTGGAATGGGAAGTTCTCCCTCAACCTGCATATTCTCCTGATATTGCCCCTTCCGATTACCATTTGTTTTGTTCTTTGCAAAACTTTCTTCTTGGAAAAAAATTTAATAATGAAGAATGCCTCAAAAATGCATTGACAGAATTTTTTGCATCAAAATCAAAAGAATTTTACAACAGAGGGATTAAAATGCTTCCTGAGCGTTGGGCACAAGTAGTAGAAAACAACGGCAACTATATTGTTAATTAAATTTTGTTGTATTGTTTAAATAAATTCGATTTAAAAAAGTATTAGAAAACGACATTAATTATTACATGCTGAGCGCATTGTCATTTCCACAGGTTTTCTTTGAAATAAAACCTTTATTTCACTTTAAGAATACTATCAGGAAGGCATTAATGCAACATAATAGTGAACAGACACTTCTACCAAGAACAGTCTGAGAACTACCAGGAAGATTTTTTCCATTTTATTTGACTAGGGTTGTAAATTGTTTTGATTCAAACTAAATGCAAATCAAAATCTGATCACATCTTTTACTTAAAAGTAAAATAATCTGCCAAAACCGGTTTGGCTCAGTGGACAGAGCATTAGCCTGCGGACTGAAAGGTCCCAGGTTCGATTCTGGTCAGCGGCATGTACCTTGGTTGCGGGCACATCCCCAATAGGGGGTGTACAAGAGGCAGCTGATCGATGATTTTTTCTCATCGATGTTTCTAACTCTCTATCCCTCTCTCTTTCTCTCTGTAAAAAATCAATATATTAAAAAAAGAAAAAGGTAAAGGAATCTCTCTCTCATCACAGCTACCCAAGTAAAGGTGCTTATTTCTTTTTAAAACTACCAAAAGGGTCACTGCAATGAAGGCGCTGGGATTCTGCCAGAGGAGACACAGGGAGCAGTACAAAGGGGGGTCCATTAACGGTCCTTCCGAAATCACACGTGACACTCATCTCATGGTGTAGCTCACACTAATGTTCTCTGAACCCTCAGAGCCCCATTATCTTCCCGGCGCAGGACCATGCCTACGTCTTCCCTGCCCAGGTAGGGAAACGGACTGTCTTCAGACACAGTACTTCCGGGTATCTGAGCGCCTACCCACCCGCCACATGGCTATGAGCAGAGCCCTGGAAGGTTTCTGAGGGCGAACGTCCTGCCTCCAGGCTCACCTGTTATCTCTACGCCCTTGGTGTAGTCTCCAGGATACCCCTGACTTGCCATGACGACGGTGACAGCCGCCTGGTTTTCAAGCCAAACGGGCGGAGCTGCGCAGAGCAGGCCATCGAGGGTGGACTGAATCACCTCGTAGAGATCGCTCTTAAGAAGCGGGAGGATCACCTGCAAAAACACGATCCACATGGCAACAGGAGGAGCTTTATTCTCAGACACCCGTTCACTGGCTTTTCGGCAAACCCGCACACCCAGCTGGCCCACGAATGTGGACGAACACAGAGCGAGGGGCCCCGACCCCTCCTCAAAAACCCGCATGTGGTTTATGACTCCCCAAAACCTAACCACAGCCGTCCCTATCCACAGGACATTGGTCCCAGGACCCTGCCACAGACTAAACAGCCTGTGATGCTCCAGTCCCTTACAGGAGATGGCGGGATCAGTGCACACAGCCAGATTCTGCTCCGCGGACTCGCACCCATGCGCTCCAAGTGCTGTTTGGACCTGAGGTTGGTTGATTCTACAGATTCAAACCCCAGGTACAGGGAGGGCTGACTGTGTGTTTATCTTTAAAAATCTGCATGTAAGTGGACTCACACAGTTCAAACCTGTGTTGTTCTGAGTCAACTGTATTTCTCAACGGCAATGATATCAAGGCTCCTAAGTTCCGGGATTAAAAGAACTCACACCTTCTCCAAAGCCACGCTTGGTGTTACCTGTAACCATTGCCCACCTGGCACTCTGGGTCCCCGAAACGGCAGTTAAACTCCAGAACCTTTGGGCCATCCCTGGTCAGCATCACGCCCGCGTAGAGAACACCTATGTCCGAGGGGAAGTCTACAGTGAACACTGTGACCGAGACTGAGACCCGGCTCCTCACACTCAAAGGCACAGAGGCCCACGGAGGCGGTGAAGGAGGAAACGGGGGCCTGCGCGGCCTGAGAGCACCCCCAGCGCACAGCGCGCACCTGTGTACGGCGTGCCCTCCTGCTGCATGCCGTCCACTGTCCGCTGAAGGATGGCATTTTTAATCTTCAGCAGCAAATCCTTAGAGACCTGGGGGAGAAGCAAGCCAATGTAACTGATATTTAAAACGTCATCTTGTAAGCCATGCCACATGGGACAATGAAAGGGGACAACGAAAATTCTTACTTTAAATTCATAAACCTTAAACCTCCCACTACTGGCCCTATCAAATCGGTACCTAGCATTATTCTTATGAAACAGGAAAGGTGTCACCCGAGTTAAAAATGACCGTCATCAGCAGAACACTGCTCAGAGCCCTTCCAGAAGACACCCCCCCCTCCCGCTTTCGTGGAGCCAACACACACCTGTGGGGCGGGGCAGCAAGCCCCCATGCCCCCTGTGTTGGGGCCTCGGTCTCCCTCCAGCAGCCGCTTGTGGTCCTGCGCCGGGGGCATGGGAGCCACGGTCCGCCCGTCGGTGAAGCACAGACACTGCACAGAAGACAGAACAGTCCACTCACCTCACACCCGGGAACACAAAGTTCCTTAACACGGGGAGCGTGAACCCTAACTTTCCTCACAGGAAGCTCTTTTTCAAAGTAAAAGGAGTTAAAACACAACCCTAAGCTTCGTACATGGTCAGGTTAGGTACAAAATGAAGCTCCTCTCAGAGCACAGTGTTCCAACCTTCCCCTTTAAGTCACACCCGATCGATACCAGGCCAAGTCCCTTATGAGAACGGGGGAGGAGTAAAGAGGGTGAACCCTTTTTCACTCGCATCCCCAACACTACACAAACGCACCCCTTCGTTCCCGCTGGGTCTGTGCTTTCCGAGGACACACCCAGAATTCACCCAGTGTGTGGGGGCCCGGCGGTCAGGTGACCTAGGTCCCATACCCCACGAGGGTCCGGAGGATGAACATACTTACAGAAACCTCTTCTCCTTCCAGCAGCTCTTCAATGACAACCGTTTCTCCCGCCGCTCCAAAGGCTTTATCCTTATTGTAGATTAGAAAGCACAAAAGTTGTAAGCTCTCAACATTTACTAATTGGCTGTTACTTCCTACCGTTTGTACCTAGACCAATGCCTGCGTTGTCATTTCCCTTTCCCGCTCTGAAAGCCTCCAAGGGATCCAGGAATGTTTCCGTAGGGAGCGGCTATAGGGTCAAGCCTCCGCCGACCTTTGGAGCCACCAACAAGTCCCAGCGTGGAGGGCAGAGTTCTCCCAGCACAATTAAGCTTGACCTTCTAGTCCCCCTTGTTCCAAGCAGCTAACTGGCTGTGGGAACAGTCTCCAGGAGCCCCCTACCTGCATGATGTCCTGCACGGCTCTGCAAGCCTCTTCTCTGCTCGCTGCCACGATCACCCCCTTCCCGGCGGCCAGGCCGCTGGCCTTCACGACCAGAGCAGGGAAGTCTGCGCTGTGGGGACAGGTTAACTCTCAACACCCACACACCTTACACCGGAAATGAAGCTGCTCTGGGATTCCGTAATGATGTGCTCCAGCAGCGAGAGCAAAGCAGGAATTACTGATCACACTGACACCATTCTGTACTTCAGTTTGCTTATGCCGTCCTTTCTGGTTGTGACCACATGGCACCCATAATTCCTCCCCTGCCCCTCCGCTTATGGTGAGATCATGCTGATGCAATCACTGGACAAACGAAGCAGCTGTAAACCGGGGATGGAAGCATCTTTCAGAGACAAAGCAGTGACCGGACACTCATCCAAGTAGAAGATGTGGCTGTGTCTGAGCAATGAGCACGGCCACATGGACATTCCCCCCAGGGCGCATGAGGAACCGTTGCTGGGAGTTCCTTCTGCTGAGGGAGAGGAGAGCTGAAAGGACACTAAGTCACCGAGTCCTTGTACCCCAGGCACCCAGCTCCTGGGAAAGAACATGGATTTTATGCCCAAGAGTGGCGGCGGCACGAGGCCACCAAGCGGCGCCTCCCTGAGGTTATTCATTTAAATGTCCTGCCCTTTCTGTCGTAAGCTGTCACTGTATACACCAAGCATGGGCCCGCTGGCCGCCAGTTTGACATGCTCGGTGTATATAAACCAGGCTAAGAAAGGAGTGCATGACTGCAAAACCAAGTTCACCTCTCCCCCCAGAAACTATTCAGTTATAAATAATAACTTCACCTTTCGGCAAAGTTGCAGGATCTACTACATGTGCAGAGAATCAATCCCAAAGGCAACCGAAATAGAACGAGCCCCTCCCCCATCATCTTATGAGCGACCCACACAGGTGCCTGCCAGGGCCCCGCACCTCAGGATGAAGCTGCGGGCCTCCTCCAGCTCGGTGAAGGCCCTCCACCGGGCGGTTGGGATGCCGTGCCGGTCCATGAACTCCTTGGCGAACCTTTTGCTGGACTCTAGCTGAGCCGCTTGTGCTGTGGGGCCAAAGCACCGCACGCCTGCCGCCGCCAGGTCCCCGACCATCCCTGCGAGGGGAAGAACACCCCCTGAGCCAGGCCCTCTCCACCCTCAAGGCCTGGGGTCACATGGAACCGGGGCACATGACTGCCGGAAAGGTTTTCATGTTGTCTACAGAACAGGAACAAAAATGCTACAAATGTGACTCAAATCCCGAAGTTGTTATATTGAAATACATGGATCACTAAATAGGAATGTATAAAAACATGTAAAATGTTTCCTGTGCCTGTAACTTTCACTTCTCATTCATCACATTTCTGCTGCTTGAGGAAAAATCCACCTATACCCATAAATTTCAAGAGGGGGGGGGAATCCTTTTTCCAATGCCATATCTCACTAGAATCCTCATCTGAAAAGCGAGCTGGATTCGATGCTCCCCAGCTCCGTGGGCACGGGACAATCGGTGACCATAAACAAAAACACTCACCAGCAGCCAGAGGTGCCTCTGGTCCAACAACGACGAATTCAATGTTCTCATCTTTGCAGAACTGAGCGAGGGCACTGTGGTCGCTGATGGAGATGGCTGCGAACAGAGAGACAAACACCGCATTACAGACATTCTTTAAGGTACTGCCATCTGCAACTAAGAGCTAACGCTGTCCTGCCCATTCACTGGGTGCAGTTGTTCCTCCCAGGACAGCCGGGACCAGCAAGGCGTAGTTCTCTGCGGTCACCGCAGCGTTAGACATGCAAGACCAGGAAGCGTCCCAAGTACCTTCTCAACTACGGTGTTTGTGTCACAAGTGTTGACTGCATAGTCAACAAACGTGTGTTGCAGTATGTACTCAGAAATGGTCTTCAAACCCCACTCGTTAGGATGTGCTGTGTACCCCAGGATGTACTCAGAAATGGTCTTCACACCTCACCCGTTCAGATGTGCTGAGGACCCGTGTGCGGGTGCTGCCCGCCACTGGTGAAGAGTGAACACAAACAGGCCCCTACAGGTGGGATGCTTATAGTCCACGGGGGATGCTGGGTAATAAATATTTAAGGAGAAAAGCCCCAGTTGTGAACCAAGTAGGCACATTTGGTGTGAGGTGAACTGGGGGGCTATCCTGGTGGAGCCAGGGAAGGTCTCCTCGTGAAGAGCTGTTTAAACCGGGAACGGAATGATTTAAGACTGGGGGCACAGCCACCTGTCTCTGCGGATGGAGGCCCACCACGCACCAAGTCAGGCTGCTTCTCTAGCTGCTCCCGCTTCCGGCCCTGGCAGCTGGTGTGGTGAGCCCGCACAGCGCAGCCCGGTACAGGAGCAGGCACGCTGGGCGAGCAGCTGCAGACACCTGGGCTGAGTGAGCCAATGACCTCAGCAGAGCAGAAGGCGGCAGGAGGAAGGGCGCACCTAACCTGCCTCTGCAAGCGGCAGCGGCCTCATGACGGGCTGAGAGGTCACCTGCCTGCAGGACAGCAGCTGCTTCTAGAGGAAACATGCCAGTTCCAGAGCAAGCAGACACAGAATCTCACCCCGACCCAAGGTCCCGGGAAGCAGGCATTTCTTATTATCCTTCCACCTTATTTGTGGTCCTGTGCACGCAACCATCTTCTCCCCGTCTGCGGCTGGCTGGTCACGGTCCTCTCCGTACACACCGTGTGCCACATGGGGGACTAGGCCTGGTGCACAGTGCGAAACCAGACAGGCCGGTTCCTCGCCCTCGTGGGGCTTATAGCCAAAGGCTTAGGTTCTAGGGAGGAAATGAGGCTAGAAGACAGACAACAGGAAAGTAAAAGTAAACACAGACAGTGGCTCACAATTGGAAACATAAAATGGGTGAGCATGTTTATCTGGAACTTCAGGAACATGTAGGCTGGGACTGGACAGAGGAGCCAGTCAAAGACCAAGGCAGCTGTGCTTGGGAAAACAGCAGGACTGCCTGCAAGGGCAGGGAAAGGACGCAAAAGGCAGAAAAGATGAGGTTGGAGAGGCAGGCAGAGGCCAGGTCCCAAGGGCTTTGTGAGGAACATTGGGGAGCCCTATGGGAAGCCACAGAAGAGTTTAATGTAACCTAAGACGTGGTCATCCCCCCCCCCCCCGATATATATATTTTTAAAATATATATTATTGATTTTTTTACTGAGAGGAAGAGGGATAGAGAGTTAGAAACATCGATGAGAGAGAAACATCGATCAGCTGCCTCCTGCACATCCCCCGCAACCAGGTTACATGCCCTTGACCAGAATCGAACCCAGGACCTTTCATTCCGCAGGCCGATGCTCTATCCACTGAGCCAAACCGATTTTGGCAAAGTGGTCATTTTTAACTGGTTGAAGACATAAGCTTGAAATCTATTATGAAGCTAGAATTGTCAGAATTTATACTTAATAGCATCATTCAACTTTTTTTAAAAAATCGACTTCAGCCGAAACAGGTTTGGCTCAGTGGATAGAGTATCGGCCTGCAGACTGAAGGGTCTCGGGTTCAATTCCAGCCAAGGGCACGTACCTTGGTTGCGGGCACATGCCCAGTAGAGGGTGTGCAAGAGGCAGCTGATCAATGTTTCTAACTCACTATCCTTCTCCCTTCCTCTCTGTAAAAAAAAAAAAAAAAAAAAAAAAAAAAAAAAAAAAAAAAATCAATAAAATATATATTAAAAAAAATTGATTTCAGAGAAGAATGGAGAGGTAGAGAGAGACAGAAACATCAATGATGAGAGAATCGTTGATTGACTGCCTACTGCACGCCCCCTACTGGGGATCAAGTCCAGCAACCCAGGCCTGTGCCCTGACTGGGAACTGAACTGTGACCTTCTGGTTCATAGGTCAACCACTGAGCCATGCCAGCGGGAGTGGGTGGGGGACATTGCTCAACTTTTCAAGGCCAAAAAAATACACTGAAATGTCTTTAACCTATATTAGGCACTTGTGAGTTTAAAGGATGTGCTTCATAAGGTTTAAAATAATTTAAGATAAGGAAATGCTACACTCCAAACAACAGAACACCTTAGATTTGCAATAGATGGCAAGTATTCAAACCACCACACAAGTTTTAAGGCTAAAGAAAGCATTCAAATCTGAATAGCAACTGACCTTACAAAGCACAGATGTAGCGGACGGTTTACCATTTATAATTATTAAGTACCGCTCCGCACGTGAAAACATGCTTACCGGCGTTTGAAATCTTCTCGGAGCCGGCAGTGCCTGCATTTCCGGGGGCGACCAACACCTGTCTGACGTGGGGAGACCGCGCCAGGCTCCAGGCCAGGGTGTGCTCTCGGCCCCCGCTGCCCACGACGAGCACTCGGGCGGCCATGGTCTGTGGGACGCCAGCGGGAAAGCAGCTGCGGGAAGAGCAGGGGCACGTCAGGAGGCACTCGCTTTAGAAATCACGTTTCCTAAGTACGATGTCCACCCCCACTCCTCTGTGGAACATTAGGGTTCCTAAGTGAAATACGGCTGCATTCCTACGATGTTAAGGAGGGCTTTAAAACTGAGGCAGGCTGGCTAGAGAGCCACGTTAAGGAGTGAAATGCCAACATGACTCCTTAGTTGATTAAAAAACAACAAAACTCCCTCGAACAATAGCCCTTCTGTAGGCTTGGCATCTGGAAGCTATAGTAATCACCCCACCTCAGGGAAACATGAATCCTGGTGTCCAGACCAGCTTTAAAGTAACTGTTTTTAAATCTCGACAACAGCCTTTGGGGGCCACGGTTTGTCGCAGCCGCTGAGTTCTGCCCGGCGGGAAAGCGGCCGGCACTGCGGGGGAGTGGCTGTGGCTGTCCGGGAGCGCCTGGCAGAGGCTGTAGGAAGGTCAAGGGTTTGTAAAGCAGAACCAGGCTGCGTTTCAGCAGCTTTAGGCATAGACACGGCAACGTGAACTTTACACTTCACATGTGCCGTAAAAACGTGCTTCCTTTAATCTTTTTCACGCGCTTGATGATGTGAAAACTATTCTTATTTAGTGGCTGTATAAAAACAGGTGACAGGAAGGACTGGTACAGGGGCCATGGTTTGCTGACCCCTGACTTAAGTAGTGAGTGCGATATGTCAGAAAATTCGCAGAGATGATGGCAAAAATCAAATTTGAACACATCTCACATTAGTTCTGGCATTTGATTCTTAGCACAACAGCTATCTCTCAGCTGAAGTTAGCAGTGGGATCTTGGATAAGCTCTATTTGTACTTCAATTTCTTCACATCTTAAAAGATGGATGAGCTGAAACCGGTTTGGCTCAGTGGTAGAGCATCAGTCTTCAGGTCCTGGGTTCGATTCCGGTCAAGGGCATGTACCTTGGTTGCGGGCACATACCCGGTAGGGGGTGTGCAAGAGGCAGCTGGTCGATGTTTCTCTCATCTACGTTTCTAGCTCTCTATCCCTGTTCCTTCCTCTCTGTGGAAAATCAATAAAATATTAAAAAAAAAAGAAAAAAAAAGAAATCTAATCTGATGCTGTATTCCAAATGGTTATAAGTCTATTAGGTAGATACTACTCCCACTCCTGCTGTACAGATAAGAAAGGGAGGGATTAGCCCTGGCTGGTTTGGCTCAGTGGATAGAGCCACCTGCCTGTGTTTGATTCAGTTCAAGGGCACATGCCTGCCTGGTTTGGGGCATGCAGGAGGCAGATGATCCAGGATTCACTCTCATCATTGATGTTTCTCTCTCGCTCCTTCTCCCTTCCTCTCTGAAATCAATAAAGATATACTTAAAAAAAAAAAAAGTGAGGTATTAGGTAGGTTAGTAACTTGCTGAAGGTCACAGGGTTAGAGGGGGTGGCCCAGGATTGCAACACAAGCCATGTTCCATCAGACACTGGAACAACTGAGGTGGTAATCACTGAAAATCTGACTAAGAAAAAACTTCTGAATTATCGCTCCGGAGAGGGGAAAGCTATTGTAGTTCGATGGGAACCACAGATGTGCCACGTGGATGGAAATGTGTGACATAAACACAGCTTTGCATTTAGTCTGAGTAAGAGGGGAAGAGCCCACACCAGGCGGGGGCCAGGAGGCCTCAGCCACAGCGCCTTGGTCTGGGGTGAAAGTGTCCCTTTCTAGCAGACACCTCGCGGACCTGACCTTCTGGGGGCCCGGGGTGCCTAAAGGAGGAACAGAACCAGACAGGGAGCCGGGGAAGCCCGGGATGGCCTCGAGGAGGAACAGAGTAGGAAGCACGTGCAAAAGTGCACCGGTCCGCCAGAGCCGATGGGTGCACAGCAACAACTCAGGGGCCAACCCCGAACAGCCTGCGAACAGCAGCGGCCTGGGGCAGCGCCGAGGGCAGCTCAGTGAGAGGGGAAGAGCAGACACCCCAGGCACCCCAACCCCGCATTTACAACTCAGGTGAGGAGCCCTCCAGCCCGGCCCCTGCCCCCCGAGCTCCATTCCACTCCTGACACGAGACCCCCTCGAGACGCGGCGGAGAGTACATTACTGAAGGCGGAGGGGCTCGCGCACCGACGCAGGGCGACCAGGTCCGCACGCCGCACTCACACACGCTCGCTGCGCGCCGCGCCGGAAGTGGGCCGAGGGAGAGCGCCTCGCGCGCCGCCCGGGCCCCGCCCACCCGCAGCGGCCTCGCTCCCCATTGGCCGGCGCGCGCCGCGGCTCCTACCGCGAGGAACTGGGGCGTGAGGCCCCGGCGCTCTGGGGCGCGGCCCGAGGCGGGTGGGGCGGCCCCGGGCTGGCGCGGTCGCCGTTCGGCACCGTAGCGCCTGGGGCCACCCGACGTCTCCCGCAGCCCCGAGGCGGGGGCGCCTTGAACGCTAGTAGCCACACGCAGCCAGTTATGTGGCTTAACGAGTCAGAACGGCCCGGTTCCCGACCCGGAGGCACCGGGCTTTGAACGCAGGCTGCTCCCGACCTCCGGCCTATTGCTTAACCGGCTCCCCACCAATCATAGGGTGTCATGGGAGATGGGGGGGGATCGTGTTCTTCCAGTTGCATCACATTGGGGGTGGGCGCGGGTGGTGCTTCCCCGGATCCGGGTCCCCGCTGAAGCCACCTGGCAATGTGTGGGACCCCGTCGAACACCACGTCACCCTTCGCGGGGGCTTCCCTTATGCCATTTAACCTCGGGCATTGGGCAGCTAGAGCCTCCTGAGCCCCTAAACGCCGCCGCCAGGGGATGACAAAGTCGCCTCGACAGGATCCTCCTGTAATGGCGCCTGCGTCACTCACTAACATGGCGGCCAGGGCCGTGCGCGGCGCAAACGTCAGCAGCTCTACCCCGGCGGCTCGGAAACAGCGGAGGAGAGCCAGGCCGTGCGCTCTGATTGGTCGAGAGGCGGAGCGTGCGGAGGCAAACGCTCCCACGTGAGCCAATCAGCGCGGCGGCACACGGAATTGGCCGCTGCGCCCGCTCCCGGAGCATTCTGGGAGCCTGGAGGACTAGCGAGGAGGAGTTGAGAGAACGGAGCGGACGCCATGGCGACCAACATCGAGCAGATCTTTAGGTCTTTCGTAGTCAGCAAATTCCGGGAAATTCAACAAGAGCTCTCCAGGTAGGCGCTCTCCAGGCTCTTCTGCGCCGGAGGGACGGGTCGGGCCCCGCAGACGGCATCTTTATTCGCAGTCGCCGTCGTTCCTCGCCTCGGGCCCGGCTGCGGCCCCGCCTGGGCCCGGGATCCATTTTCCGCCCTCCGCCCGCCCCCCCATCCGCTCCCTTCCCGGCGCGGAACTTGGCCCTTTCCGCCGAAACCCCGGCTCCCGCTCCTGAAACTGAGCCCCGGCGCTCCCCCCGCTCCTGTCCGACCGCCCCCTGCCCTCCCGCGGCCGCGGCCCGGCGGGCGCCGAGCCGGCCTAGTTCCTCTTCGGCTCCTCCTCCGCCTCGCGTCTCCCCTCCCCCCCCGCCGCGGCCGCCGCCGGTGCCCGTGGCCGGAAAGGGGCTCCGCCGGCCGAGGCCGGAGCGGATTTAAATCCGCTTTGTCCTGGGAGCTCCGGACCGGCTCGGGGTCCGGATCCTCTAATTAGATTATTTGAGCCCCAAGTGTACCTACCGGGCCTTCCGCCGGGCAGCGTCCTAATCGACTAGAAATCCAAATTAAAACGTCTCAACGCGACAAAATATTCGAGGTTAGGGTGGAAGGGGAGTTTGGATCATGAGCCATTTCTTAATCGAGCAAGCGGACGGCGGGCTTTGTGTGTCGATACACATTTTCATTTTTGCTGCCCTTGTCCCCAGTGGACACATGGGGATAACTCGTTACTCTTGCCATTGCTGGTCGGCCTGTGCTCGGTTCCACAGAATTTAACCTGGGGGAGGTTTCCGAGGTAGAGCTGTTGGCTCAGAAAGGAAACGAGCAGGGAGCATGTTGTTCACCGGTTGGTTGTCTACGTGTTCGGGGGCTGTAGGACGCATTTGGTGCGATTTCACATGTTTTTGGTAGTTTGCATTTTACAAGCTGAGAGCGAGAGCAGTACGTACATTTGAAAACCAGCCGAGAACGCCGTTGTAAAGGGAGTTATTGGGGCCATGGTACACATATCCGGGATTGCTTAGGACCACTGTTTTTACAGGGCGTGTAATTATTTTAAGTGGGGAACATATCCGCTCATTCAATTCGTTCCTTTTACAAATTTTGTCACTACGTGCTCGTGTTTTTAGGGCAATGAGGAAAAAGATTTGAGATAATGGAAGATGTATTTTTGATAACTTTAATAGTCATGCAAATAAGTGATTGCGTTTGCTTATTGTAATGTCTTAATGCCCTTAAGAAATCAGTTTTATTAGGAAGTAAGTTTGGTTGTAAAAAATTTTTGGAAAAAAATTACGAGCCTCTACATAGTCATTGATGTTCTTTTCCCTCCCTGTGCATACAGAAGCACATCCATGTTTTGTGAAATGTGATCATCTTGTGTAGTGTTGATTTTTCACCTAAGAATTGTGAGCAAGTTTGTCTTTTATCACAGTCTCGGTAGTCTTTTGGGATATTTTTTCATGGTTCCATTGAATTTTGTTGTATTGATGGATATTTAGGATGTTTGAAATGTTTATCTCAAGTATTTGCTGTAAGCATTCTAAAAGCTTTAAGATGATTACATTATCGTTTACTTTTTTTTGTTTTTAGTTGTGCTTTTCTGATTTTTAAATCCGTTGCTTTTTTAGTAAGGTAATTATGTATGTTTAAGTGCTTAAGATAAGTGCAAAAAAAATAAAGAACTGAAGAAAGTCGAAAAACAACGTTAGACAACGCAGTTTATTACTAGAGGAATATTAGGTTCTCAGGTAACATGCAATACATTATTGGTCTAAAATGAGTTAGATTAGCTATTAAAATAGATCGTGGTTAAGAGTATGAGTTCTGGCTTTAAATACCTGCTTCACTTCTTGATAGCTGTGTGACCTTCAGCTAGGTTTCCTATCTTCTCTGGGCCTCATATTCCTCATTTATAAAACCAGAGTGATAGTGCTGATTTTAGAGTTTGGATAGGATTAAGTGAGTTTGAAAGTTGTAGAACCTTGTTTTTTTTTATTATGGGATTTATTGTAGTAGAAAACCAAATTTTTTAAATAAGTTAACTTTGCTGAATTTTGGAATTTCAGACTTTTATCAGGTAGTGGAGCATAATTCTGTTTTGTTAGCTAAAACTTAAGTTGAACGTGTTGCTGAAATTATTTTTTAAAAACAATTTTGCAAATTACACAAAATAGTAAAAATGACTGGATAAATGGCATGTCCTTATGTCTGTTAAGATTCTTCATGTAAAAATAAAACAAACAATAGGGAGAGCAGAGAGACTGGTGGTTGTGAGGTGTTGGTGAAAGGGGTCAATTGTAAGGTAATGAATGGTAACTAGAATTGTGGTGCGTGAAAACAGATGTTAAATTGCAATGTTGTACACCTGAAATGTTTGTATATATTATATGCACACACAAACACAATAATCTTACCTCAACTAAAGGAATTCCTTTGGTGCTGTGAATTGAAATATATTAAGCCATCCATTCATTGTTGGTATAAGTGAATTGTTAATTTATGTGAAATTTTTTGATCTCCATAAATTTAATAATGAAATTTTTAAAGTATATTTTTTTATTGTTGATGGTATTACAGATAATTACTAGGGTTTTTGTGACTGGGTAAAAATTATATATATTTTTATTTTAAATATGTTTTTAAAATAACTGATTTCAGAGGGAGGGAGAGTTAGAAACATTAATGATGAGAGAATTGATAGGCTGCCTTGCCCATACTGCAAGCCCCCTGCTGGGGATCTAGCCTGCAACCTAGGCAGGTGTCCTGACCAGGAATGGAACTGTGATCCATAGGTTGAGGCTCAACCACTGGCTGGGCTAATATATTTAAAAAAAAACAAAACTTTTTGGCATTTTATTAACCGACGAGAGCCTATATGTTACCGTTTTTACTTGATGTTTCTGTGGCTAACTTGATGTTCATTGTTGTTGATTGTGATCCATGGCAGGTGTGGCTTTATGATGGCTATAGCTTCTATTATAATAGTCATATATATTTGGGGGGATTTTTTGATTGTGATTTTATTGACTTTTCTCTCCTGAGATAAGTATGCAGGTAACTAAAATCTAAATCAGTTTACATTTCTGGGAGCATTTTATTTTTTAAAAAGATAGGCTTAGAAACCTGTTTTAAAGATTTTTTCCTTCACTTTCATGATCCCAAAAACTTTAATTATGTGAAAACAACAATGTACCAACTGTAAGTAGGAAGTGTTAAAGAAGTACAACTGGTAGGAAATACCACCTGGAGTACAGAAATTGTGAAATGTGTTAATATAAGATTATTTAATTGAATTACAAGTGTTAATTTGTTACGTGGTATGGTAAAAAAAATATTAATGAATTTTGATAAACTTTTCTTGTCAAGTGGAAGGAGTGAAGGCCAGCTCAATGGTGAAACAAATACACCTACTGAAGGAAACCAGGCAGGTGACGCAGCTGCCTCTGCCCGGAGCCTGCCAAATGAAGAAATAGTCCAGAAGATAGAGGAAGTGCTTTCTGGGGTCTTAGATACAGAACTCCGCTGTAAGCCAGGTAAGTGGGAGATAATCAGCTGTCTAAAAAACCGGAAGATTTTTTTTTTTAACGGCTTACCACTAGATCTAATGTGCAGTAGATCTAGAACTTCAGTAAATTTAAGTTTTAGTTTAATCGGTTTACTGAAAATCTTGTTTGACTTTGAAATATGAGTAATGATGCACTTGTTGGCTTTGGTGGTGGGGCACAACTTTGATTTAGCCTATGTCTTAGGCCAAGGAGTTTGAAAGCAGGTTTCCATTGAACAATTGTATAAATGTCCATCTTGGAAGGTTCCGGAGCCTGGACCACGTTTGTAATGACTAAAACACAAGAGGTTTTATTTAAAAACCACCTGTAGAGATTGCCTTGTTTTTGCGTCTGCCCCTCTTAAAAGTGCAGTGAATGCAAAGGAATCATCGCTTGAATATATAGCATTTTTGGAATTGATTAAATAATTGATGCTTACAAATGAAAACTTTAGGAATGAAAGTTATAGTCAACTACAAAAATTACAATATCTTCATTTAGTTTTAGAAATTGTGAC